AATTTCACAGATACTACAGGGGCGCCGTTGGAGCCCTGCTGGTCTATGACATCACCAAACATCTGACCTATGAGAGCGTGGAGCGCTGGCTGAAGGAACTGTACGACCACGCTGACCCCCACATGGTGGTGATGCTAGTGGGCAATAAAACGGACCTGGAATCAGAGCGATCTGTGCCCACAGAGGAGGCCAAAGACTTTGCAGGTGAAAATGCTCCCATTCGTTCATGAAAGAGAAGTTATTACAATAGAATAGAATAGAATAGAATGGAATAAATTAGAATAGAATGGAATATAATAGATTAGAATAGAATATAATAAATTAGAATAAATTAGAATAGAATGGAATATAATAGAATAGAATAGAATAGAACAGAATAGAATAGAATATCCTTTATTGTCCCAGAAAGGGGAAACTGTTTTCAGCCACAAGAAGTTTATAGAAAAAATGGTCATAAAAATGTGGACCTTAGAAAAATGTATAATAATAACATAATAGTGAAGAGTTAAAATATAAACAATAAAATAAAGTGTTTTATTGGACAACATCATATATTAAAATGATCTTTTCAAAAACTCATTTGAAAAATTTTTCAAATGTCTTAAAATCAGTTGGAGCATTTAAATAAGATGATCTTCATATAGAATGAGGTTTTTTAGCCAATACAATAAAATAATTAGATATAATATACTTTAAAAAGATGACAGAGATGTTATTTTGTTATTTTAAAGGTTGATCATCTTGTTCGTTTGGTAATTTTTCTAATTTTCCTGTTTAAATGAGGAGGAACACAGTTTAGAAACGGTTTTATTGTTTTCCTCGTAGAAAAGAAAGGCCTGTTGTTTCTGGAGACTTCGGCTTTGGAATCAACTAATGTGGAATCAGCGTTCAACACGGTGCTGGAAGGTGATCCGCCCCGTTCAGCTTCATCTCTGCTTCTTCATGTCTCCTTCACTGATTCTTTGGTACTAAACCAGTTCCTGAATCACTTCTTCACTTCGGTGGTGTTTGGCAGTGATGGGGAGGTGGGTTGGAGGTGGGTGGAGTAGTCATTAGTAATGATCATCCTCACAGTGGGACACAGAAATCTGAGCAATCCTACTTTAGAGAACAAGTGGTGTTATGAACAAACTGAACTAGTTTAGCTGTTTTTCAGTCCCTTAGCTTTCCTCTATAGGAGCATCATTTACATCT